CCCTCTGGACGGCGTTACAAGTCACTGTGCGCCAAGACAACCAGGCACAGGGACAGTTTCTTCTCTCAGGCCATCACTCTGATGAACACTTAACCCACGACAGTATGATTAGACAATAACCCTCAGTGCAATACCTGTGTATATATATATATTGTATAGATTATACAGACTCGTACAGGTTTCTAGTACTCTGTTTTAAGTACTCTATTTTTATCCCTAATTATCTAATTTCAATGAACATTCCTTTGTTGTCTGCATTGTTTACAGTCTGTTTATACTGCTTTTTCTGCATTGTTTGCACTGGTTGTTAATGTTAATACTGCTATTTTGTTATATTACACAGCCATATGCTGGTCTACTGTTTGCACATTGAGAGCCTGGGCCATTGGAGTACCTGAGTCAAATTCCTCGTGTGTCCAACACACCTGGCCAATAAACTGATTCTGATTCTGTCTGAATTCCTCACGACATTCTTTCTTTTGCAACTTCCACCACTTGGTCTTCTTTTCTGTTTTTCCTCTCCTCTTCTTCCTGACCACCAGAGTCATCCTACACACCACCATCCGATGCTGTCTGGCTACACTCTCTCCTACCACCACTTTGCAGTCACTAATCTCTCTCAGATTGCCTCATCTACATAGAATGTAGTCTACCTGCGTACTCCTACCTCCACTCTTATATGTAACTCTTTTTTTTTTGGAAATAGTGTTAACTACAGCCATTTCCATCCTCTTAGCAAAGTCCACCACCATCTGTCCTTCTAGGTTCCTTCCCTTAACACCAAACCTGCCCATCACCTCCTCATCACCTTTGTTCCCCTCACCAACGTGCCTGTTTTGAAGTCTGCCCCAATCACCACTCTCTCCCCTCTGGGAATACTCTCCATCACCTCATCTAACTCACTCCAGAATCTCTCCTTCTCTTCTAACTCACACCCTACTTGTGGAGCATAACCACTGACTACATTCAACATTACCCCTTCAATTTCCAACTTCAAACTGATCACTCTGTCTGACACTCTTTTCACCTCTAAAACATTCCTCATGTTGGACCCAGTACTTTTCACCATGCTAACTCTGAGAGACGAAGCAGTCCAAGTACTTTCAAAACAGTGCTGATTTATTCAATGAACACAGGTAAAAATTAACATTACACACTCAGGTATCTTTACAACATGCACGCAGGCAGCTGAAAGATGAAAGACCCCGAACCACAACTGGCCTATACATTATATCACTTTGGTTGGGCTAGCCCCATTCTACACAG